CCACATGCACACACAGGTGCACACCCACATCCATGCATACACACCCATGTGCTCATTCACACACACGCACGCACGAATGCATGCACGCACAGCTGAGCATAGAGTACACAGCTGCACATACCTTTGCCTTGGGTCTGGCTGTCTGGTTAACCGGTCTAAGATGAACTCCTTTTTTAATTCTGTCCATCATTTCTTCCACTGCTTGTCTCTTCAGATCTGTGACTTCCTCAGCTGTGTGAAGAACACAGACAGAAATCATCCTAGGACATAGGAAACAGCTAATTCCTCTTGCTGGTGACATTGGGCTGTGTGATAATAGAAGTCTTCTTTTCAGGCCATGGCAGAATACCAGTAATTCACTATGGGTGACAGCTACTCTCCGGCAATGTTCCAAATAATATATTTTTTTAAATTAAGAAAACTTCCTAATCAGAACACTTAAGAATTATAACAATCAAAGTCAAGTTTGTAGCATGAAAATCAATATCGTCTTACCTATGAAAAATATAAGAATAAACTTGGAGATATGGATATCTCTAGGTCTTCCCCTCTGTGTCTTCTCCTGTTCTCTCTCTCTCTCTCCTGTGTGTATGTTGTTTGAATGGCTTTGTATACATATACAGAGACCATAGGAGCACACTGGGTGAAATGCTTCATTTCTTTCCACACTATTCCTTTGAGACATGGTCTCTCACTAAACCTGAGGCTAGGCTGCAGGCCTCCAAGCCAAAGCACCATCTCCACCTCCTCTTCCACCTTTGTGATGCCAAGCCCTGTTTTTCAAGGGGTTTCTGGGGATCTGAACCTCCGTCTTCATGCCAAGTGTTCTTACCCACGGAACCATCTTTCCAGCCTCTGTATCTTTCTCAAATCATCCATCTTTGTCTCAATGATTTTTTTTTATAAGTTATTACATCCTGTATGTCAAAGAAAGTGGACCAAAGCCTAAGTAAAAGAGGAGATCAAAGAGATCTCTTCTCTATGAGAAAGAAGTCCAGTCAAGAGATGAACAGTAAGAAGGCAAACCTGTTTCCAATGCTACATTTTGTTTAGGAATTGTATAAATAGGAAACATTTAAGCAAATCTTTTTTCAAGTCTATTTAAACTATCCATGTTTTAAAAATAACAAATAGGCATCCAGCAATGACTTAAATGAAATAATTAAATTATAAACGAGCTTTCAGGGGTTGGGGTGTAACTCAGGAGCAAAGTGCTTACCTACAATGAATGATAATATAAAACAATCTATTGTCCAATGTGAGTGTTGTGGTGTGTGTGTGTGTGTTGCACACATGTGGAGGTCAGAATAGGATACCAGGTATCTTCTTATACTGTTCTCTGCCTTATTAACTTGAGACAGCATCTCTTGCTGAATTTCAAGCTTGCCATTTTGGCCAGGCCAGCCAGCCAGGTGGCTCTTGGAATCTGCTATCTCTGTCCCCAAATGTTGGGGCTAGAGGCATGAAAGAAAAAAAAATTTTAATGGATCTGAACTCACTTCCTCATGCTTGTGGAGTGAGCATTCTTGACTGAGCCACCTCCTCAGCCCCTAGTGTCTGATTTTTCTTGCTTGATGCATGTAATGCCAAGGATTAAATGGTTAAACGGAAACCTGTTGACCAAAATCAATATGATTTTTCTCAAAGAATTGCTTGCCAAAGTATGGAATCACTTTGGAACATGTCACCATTAATGTGCTTCTAGACCTGCATTATTCCTAGTGACTTCACAGCAGCTAAGTGCCCACTGAGACCTAGGCTGCATGGCAGACTCTCTGTCTGTCTGATCAGTTCTGAACTCTGCCTTTAAACAGATATGATGTCTGTACTTTTGAGGAAAGATGGCTAAGCCCACAAAGGCTGCCTTCTAGATGAAGGGGACCACAGTATACCCAAAACTAAGTAATGCTAGTTTCAGATCTAACTCATGGCTTCTTTCCTGAGGAGACTTCATGTAGACCTGAGTAGCCATTCCCCATCCTTGAGTCCCGAATATTAGTGTAATATTAAAATCAGACACTAGGGGCTGAGGAGGTGGCTCAGTCAAGAATGCTCACTCCACAAGCATGATGAGGAAGTGAGTTCAGATCCATTAAAATTTTTTCTTTCTTTCATGCCTCTAGCCCCAACATTTGGGGACAGAGATAGCAGATTTCAAGAGCCACCTGGCTGGCTGGCCTGGCCAAAATGGCAAGCTTGAAATTCAGCGAGAGATGCTGTCTCAAGTTAATAAGGCAGAGAACAGTATAAGAAATATTAGTATAAGAAATGAGGGAACACCAGAATTTACAAGTTTTTATTATCCTCAACTCTGTAGCACCAAATGGCTCAATCACTGCTACATTCGTGAGTGAGTATAATCTGACTTCAAAGGCAATTCTGTCCTCAGAAGCTATTGAAAAACTAAGAATTAAAATGTTTCAATGTGGAAGATGATTCAGATCAAAGAGTCATCTTTCCACATGTGTCTTAGTTACTTTTTAGTTACTCTCATTGTTGCAACAATGGAAAAAAAAAAAGCCACCTGAGGAAGGTAGGGTTTTAGCTCAGTACAATAGTAAATCCATCACTGTAGGGAGTTAGGCTGCTGGGGCCTGAGGCCACAGCTGAGGAGAGGTGCTTGTGATCTTATTCAGCCCAGCCAGCACCAAGGCCTGCAATAGCTGCCCACATTTAGAGTGGATCCACTAACCTAATCCAGAGATTTCCTCATGGGAATGCCCAGAGGTTTGTCTCCTGGGTAATTGTACATCTTGTCGAGTTGACAACCATCAAACATCACATAATGTAACATGGGAAACACAAGTACCAAAGTTAGAACTCATCAACAAATGAAAAATGTTGGGGGAAAAAAAGAAACAAAGAAAAAAAATGTCCGATGCTTTGGGTTGATCACCTATGTTCCATTAAATAGAATCTGGAACTTATTCTGATGGTTCACAAATATCTGCAAGCGGGCAAACAAGAAATTCACTCACTCATTCACTGTCTCTTTTGATGTCTAAATATCTGTACGTATACATGCTTTACTGACCCTGTTCAAAAGGAGATTTTTTTTTTTAAGGCAGGTCTTGTACATAAGCACCTGGCATGGGATGAGGTTTAGTCCTGGGAACTCAGAGACCAGTTTTAAAACACCTTTTTTTCCCTTCTTGGTTTTGTTTTTCAGAAAGGCTGCCATTTTGAGTGAGACTAGGAAGAGCCGCATGGCGAAGGGAACACCGCCTACAAACAGATTAGCACTCTGGAAGGAGTGACTGCAACCCAATTAAATACACTATACAGAAACTAATTAAGGCAGACAGATGGAGAATTACGGGCCACACCATTCAAATCTTCGACAGCATCTACCAGCAGGAATTTAAAGTAGTTCCTTATATTTGCTTGCCAGAACCACAGTGATAATTCAGAGAAGTGCCACTATCTGTATTGTGCACAGATTATAAACCAGGCTTTAATTTCTCACCCTTTCTTCCCAAATATAAAGGCTTAATTGGTCTTAAGGAAAAGAAATCACTCTTATCAGATTCCCTACTCAGGCGCAACACAAGGGCAGTGCTAAGCTAGCCACGCAGGCTTTCTTCCTCTCACCGACCTGTTTTTGAAATGGCAAAAAAGCAATCTATATGAACTTCTGAACTATTAAGCGGTTCTAATAAAACCGGCATGAATCACCTACGGAGCGCTCGTGGTATGTTTTGTAATTCCTTCTGCAATCGCACAGTTGGTAATTGTCTCACAAAAGCATGTAATCAGGGGGACAATGGAAATATGCAGGACGCTGGAGATTAGAGAAAGAGGCTAATGAAGACAACAAGTCTAATGTTACCGAACCGCCACGGGCGGAAGGGAAAAAAACCCAACAAAACAAAACCAAAGGTTCTTTGAGTTAAAGCTTCAAGGTCAGTCTTGGATCAGAATGTTATGTATAATTAATTAGGGCTTAAATTTTTAGACCCACATGGAAAATAAGTTAGATCTTAAAAGAAGAGAGAGACCCATGGAAGAAACCATCACGTTGCTACTCAAGAAAATCTCTGGTTATTATCAAGAAGAAATGAAGTTTCTTTTTGGTTCCCTGTTTTGCTAATTTTTTTTTTTTTTTTGAGAAGCCTTTAAAAACCAAACCATCGTATATCATCATGATGTTAAAAACTACCAAAAGGGTACATTATGTTTGAGTCAGTTTAGAATTGACCTACGAATTATAAATTTAAGGAAATTTCTTGACTACAGGATTACCTCTCCCAAATGGGAGTTACAGGGTTACAGAGGTAGCTCAGTAGGTAAGAATGCACGAGGAACTGAGTTCAAAACCCTAGAATCCATGTACAAAAAACTGTGTATGGCTCAGGATGTCTGTGACCCCAGCACTGTGTTAGAGAAAGGAGGATTGAAGGGGCTTGCTGTGTGCCAGTCTAGCTCTAGGTTCAGTAAGAGACGCCGGCTCAACAGTGTAAGGGGGTGATGCAGCAGGACACCTGATGTTCTCCTCTGGCCTCTGCACATACATAGGCCTGCACATCTGTATCCATACATGTGCAGACATCACCACCATGAATGTCACACTCACGCACACTTAACACATCTCGCTCAGAGATCAGACTGACTCAGGAGCTGGGAATTGGCCAATCATGATGTCCTTCAGCAATGGACTATGAAGTGCTATAGCTTTAATTCCCAACCCGATACAACCTAGCACTGCCTGAGAAGGGAGTCTCAACAGATAATCCTGATCAGATTAACCAGTGGTAGGTTGTCTAGATTATTAATTGATGCAGGATTATTCATTGATTCAGCCCAGTCCACTGTGGCTGGAACCGTTCCCTAGGCAGGTGGTCCAGGTTGTAGAAGAAAGCTACTTAAGCCAAAGTGGTGGCACACACTTTTAATCTCAGCACTTGGGAGGCAGAGGCACATAGAGCTCTGTGAGTTCCAGGCCAGAAGAGCTACACAGTGGGAGAATATGGCTACTTAAGTATAAACCCATGAGCCAGCAAAGGGCTTTCTTCCATGGAAAGCTCCCACTTAAGTTCCTGCCCTCAATAACAGACCACACCCTTAATAACATGTTCCTCCCACTATATTACATTTGGCCAGTGTTTGTTTGTTTGTTTTCTATCACAACAAACAAGAACATGCTAATGAGCCACTTGTGTTATAAATATTAATGAGTAGGTGGAGGCAGAGGAGGAGCCTGGGACAAAGGATGGAGGATGTGGAATCCCAGCAGCATCTTGCTGAGGCTCTAGTTGCAGAAGCCATAGAATATGGCCACACAGGAGCCAGTGTTTACCAGGGTAGTGTAAGTGATCCAGCTAGAGAGTGGGACAGGCATATGAGGAACAAGGAGGAAGCAAAATCAGAGGGCTGTTGGTGAGCACAGTGCAGACTTTGGGTTCCAGACTGACACCATGTGAAACACAGACATGTCCTAAGACCTTGAGGGATACAATTAGGACACCTAGGAAGACCTCAGAAAGTCACACTGCTAATGCCATGCCAATGGCTAGACGGGAGAAGGCAAGCAGATGGGGTCAAGAAGAATCTTATACAGATCTGGATTTGCAACTGGCAAGTTCAGGAGAGCTTTGTAACAGGTGCTGAGCAACCTTGTTGGTTCTAATTTGAGTTCAACATTGTGAGATTCGACAGATCAAGATCTAACCCAGTTCCAGAGAGTGCTCTCATGGCTGCTAACGTGAGCTCTGTGCATGGACTCTGAACCAGTGTCTCCAGGCCATCTCCTCACTTGTTCCTCTAGACCTACCTCCCTAGCTAGATCACTAGATGATTAGTTCTTGAATCTAAGCAATCACCTGGACAGCAATCACCTCTGAGTCTCCTAGTCTAAGGCATTGACATTCCTTTGCCATGTCTGCCATGTCTGCCATGTCTGCCATGTCTGCCATGTCTGCCATGTCTGCCATGTCTGCCATGTCTGCCTGTCTGCCTGCCAGGCATACTTGTCTTGCCTGCCTGCCTGCCATGCCCACTTGCCTACAGGCTCGCCTAGCCTTCCCTTCTCCATTCTTTGCTCTTCCCAAACTTCAGGCAGAGTGACTGTTACAGAGGATGAATCTCACTACATTCCCACTTCAAACTTCTATTCTGAGGAGAAACATCAGCATCTTGACCACTGCTTTGAGAACCTGCCTCCCACCCACATCTCAGCCCTCCTCCCTGGCTCCTGAGTCAAAGTAGCAGAACAATCTTTAGGTTTTCTGATGCATGAAGCTCCTTCCCTGATTCAGACCTTTGAACAAACCACTATGCTCTCTGGGCATCTTTCACCCCAAATACTCCCGTCACTGATGCCCCAGATCAACTTGAATGCTGCCTAATGACGCCAGCAGTCCAACATCACAGATTCTCAGAGACACCCGCTTCTTCCCACAGTATGCCCCAAACATTGCACTAAATGTTATCACATTTATGTGGGTGGTCACTTGTTTACACCACCTCTAATTACACTAGAATGTGACTTGAGCATGTGACACTGTAGTAGTGTACAGCTGATAAGATACTTGGTAAGATCCCAACCCCCTTGACACTGATAAGAAATCTTTCTCTAAAACGCCTTTGGGATTACTCCTCTCCTTCATGTCTCAAATGACCATTCCCAGAGAAAGGATAGCTCTAAGTACACTCTCCTTGATCTAGACAATAAGTTGTAGGAAGGTGTGATGGTTTGTATATGCTAAGTCCTGTTGGAGTAGGTGTGTCACTGTGGGCATGGGCTATAAGACCCTCATCCTAGCTGCCTGGAAGCCAGTCTTCTGCTGGCAGCCTTCGGATGAAGATGTAGAATTCTCAGCTCCTCCTGCACCATGCCTTCCTGGATGCTGCCATGTTTCTGCCTTGATGATAACAGACTCTGAACCTGTAAGCCAGTCCCAATTAAATGTTGTCTTTATAAGACATTCCTTGGTTATGGTGTCTGTTCACAGGAGTAAAACCCTCACTAGGACAGAAGTCAATGCCCATCCTTCGGGTGGTTGTTTCTCACAAGTCCACATTCTGCTCAAAGAGCTCAGCAAACACGGCAATTACTGACAAGCTGCCCACCATCATCCGCTTGAGGGAAACTGGATAGTTGTGAAGCTTACCTGTCTGCCCACCATCATCCTGAGGGAAACTGGATAGTTGTGAAGCTTACCTGTCTCTGGCTGAGTTGTCTTTTCTTTCTTAGCACTGTTACCACTGGGGTGGGATCGCTTCCGGATCATAGACATGAGGGACCTTTGGGAAGAAGAAAAAGATTCCAAAGAAATTAGTGGCTGCATTATTGTTCAACTGGCAAAATGGAGAGTTCTAGACGCTCGGTGGAAACCAGGTCTTCTGTACATGCATGAATCCTCAAATAGAATTTAAGCAGCTGCTTTCTACTTTGGTCGATATTACGGCCTTTATCAGTTTATAGACAAGGAAAATGTCTTACGTTGTCCTGTATAAAACTAGTATGATCACTAGAGGAAAAGGACTGGATGCCAACGTTCGTGAACACAGGTTTATAAAAGGACATAGATGAAAAGAATTTTCAGATGACAGAACTAGTTATCTAGGAAATACTGGTTCCCTACGAAGTACTTTCCAGACACAAGGAAGTATGAAAAGTTAGTGTGTGTTCAAAACAAAATATGGGTGTGGGACAGGGAATATGGCCCAGTGGTGGTGGTCACCTAGCCTGTGGGTCCCTATGCTCAACCCCAACAGAACAGGATATGCCATCAATAGGCATATGCTTATGAAACAGGAGTGTAGACCATCCAGCTTGCACTGTGTAAGTCAGGCATCTGGGGACAGAGCAGATCTGTACCGCTGTCTCTCCAGCCTGGGTTTTTAAAAGTGCACATAAAACCTAAACTATGACGAACTGGACCACATTAAAAATGTAAAAGCCTGTGTGTCTTTAAAATGCATTATGAACAACAGAAAGACAAATTAGCCAACAAATAAAGGGATTCCACAAGTAAATCTAACAAAGACTTCCTAATTTGTATAGAATTTTGACTTTATAATATCATATTTTTATCTCCAATGTTATAAGAAGGAAAATACTGGTTTTTATTCCCCCCCCCCGACTCCCCAAAAGGATTCAATATCTACTTGTGAGCCCATGCCAGGGTAGACTGGGAGGTCTTCACCAGCACGTAGTCTCACTCTCGTTTGATATCACACTCTTTAACAACCTCAATTCTGGGTACACTGAGGTGACAAAACAGGGATTTGTCTGTACTGCTCAGACCATTTGCATATATTTGCATGTATGAAGTAAGAATACATGTTCTTTATTGTTCATCACCTAAGTTGATGAGAAAAGTGTTAACATAATGTTGAAGCTGAGCTGGAGATGTGAGGCACTCAGAGGAGAATCTACGATATTGAAAAATGACAAACCATCAAGAGAGAGCTTACACTACAAAGAAAATATATAGGGTGGGAACCAATCATTAGATGGAATGACTGGACCAACAATCCAAGCTTTCACTCATCCACCTACCCCCAATTAACCCAATATGCTGAGACAGGCACATTGCCCTCCCAGATGTTGGCCTCACCCAATTACTGAAAGCCTGAGTTGAACAAACATTGGCAGTTCTTGTCACCAATGAGAAAGAATCTTTTCTGCCTTCTAACAGGAACACTGTATTTTTCTGCTTTTGAACCTGGATCACTACACCATGGCCTCCTGGATCTCAAGTCTGCCAACCTTCAGAGTGTTACTCTACCACAAGTTCTCAGACTTTGGACTCAGCCTTAAAGTACATCTAACAGATGTCCTAGGTGCCCAGCTTGCCAACTTGCCTTACAGGTCTTGGGACTTGTTAGCCCTCTATAATCACACGAGTCAATTCCCTGTGATGAATCTATAGAGTCCTATGTCACCGCTTGGTCAACGAGAGGCCACATATATAACAGTGGTCTCTGAAGAGAACGTTGCCTAGTAAGCAGACAGCCATCTTAGCTTGAGCAAGTACGGTGAACACGTAATGAAACAGTCAACCCATTTCTTGGAAGTATCTCCATGTTCCATATGCTTCTTTGTCTATATTATACACCCTGTGGGCTCATTCATGCTGGAAGACTCACTCCATCCTCCACTTCTCTGCCCATGAGACATGCTTGTCCAGGACCTATCCTACAATCCTTCCATCACAACATGACCCACCTACACCTTCTTACTCTTTCCTCTAATGTATCTGTCCTCTAGGTCAAAGAAACTGAAAGAGACTAAGAAGCCAGAAAGCTACTGAGGAAGAGATGACCTGACTCCCTTCCCCATCCTTACCATGGTCACTCTATCCAGGATCTAGATCCAGGATAAAAGAAATGGCTCAAAAACAAAGTTGGAAACCATGGGGTGGGTTTAGTACCCTTGAGCGCTCAATACATATGCAAAAAAAAAAAAAAAAAAAAAAAAACCTTGACGAGAAAGTATTTTTCACAATTTTTTTTCTGAAAAGTTATATCCCATACTATTTAAATCTATCTTAAAAGTTATTCATATTATTCAATGAACATTTTCTTTCAGGGGGTCTTACAAAAGAGTCAGTGGTTGAGGCAATATATAGTCTTGATTCTTGTACTCACTTCTCAGTATAACTGTAAAGAGTTCCATGGAGGAAATTCTATTTTGATTACGTTTTAAATTCTAGGGGGCTCTCGGCATTTCTAAGGCTAAAAATCAAAGGCCGACAGCAAGACTGTAATTGCTTTTTAATAGTTCTCCCTTCTCATAGAAGTGACCTTTCTTATCAGCTCAAAATTCTAGACCCGAGAGAAAGATCAGAGTGACGCATTTCTCATTTTAAATGTCACCTTTGGAATATCTCCTACAGGTTTAGCTACCCAGGAGTGAGAGAATTTAAAATACCTGAAATTCTTTCAATTGACTCTTGGACTCGATCACTTGTAAAGATTATTTAACCTCAACTACTTCAATGGCTTAAAGTAGATTATGTCATACCCAACTCGGCAAGGCAAAGTAATGAGACTCTTTTTCAAAAGCAAAGTCCCATTTCCATAGTCGTGTGGGAGGAACATGCAACACATTCTATTCAGCTGGATCAGCTAAGGTGCAAAGCGGGGATAAAGGGCTTCTCTGTGTGAAAGGATTAAACAAATCACATGAGTTAATGAAAGCTAAAACATCCAGCAGAAGTTTAAATGCCATTTGTTCAAGAATAAATTATCCGAAGGCAACTAACTAACCTCATGAGGAGGTAGGCAGTCATCAAGATAAGTAGCCTGACTCCTCTAATTTTGGATGCTGGTGGGTAGAATCACCAAGAAGGCAAAGTCTCTCCAGAATGTATGTCAGGCAGAGGTAATGATGAATACCAACCAGGCTTCAGAAAAAGAGAATTCCTTCTTGCATATAGGAGTCCTTTGCCAAGATCTTAAACAGTAATTTTTCTTGTGGAAGGTTCTTATGGAAAGTTCAGAATTACTAAAGGCTTAACTATCAAGATTGGGATAAGAGATATTTAGCACTTTTAGATTAATCACTAGTTTATAACAATTAGTAGGTTTAAGTTTTAACTTATGACTTTTAAAAATGTATAATCTAGAGCCTTCAAATTTAAATTATGAGGGGCAAAAAGTGAACCAGTTTGGATACCCTCAAAATTCCTTGGTCTCCCCGGTGAAGGAAATCCTACTGCTAGGGGTAGAATTTTAAAATTCAAGTATCTGAGTTAAACGATAGACATCTACTTCTTGGAGTTTGGAATATTGCCACCAAATCCAAGTCCTACAAGGGGATCTGTGGGTCCTGAGGATTTCTTTGAAAGGTGATTTTAAAAACCAAGGATATACAAGAAGCAGGAAAAACATTGGTCTTTAGGAAATGTTCCTTTCTGCCTTCTACTGTCTCCCTAAAGATACAACCTAAGCTGGTATCAGAAAGAAGAAGACGGAGCTGAGGACATAACTGAGCTGGTGGAGCACCTGCCTGGCATACTTGAAGCTCTGGGTTTGATTCCCTGCACTACAGAAGCTGGGCCATATGGCATGTGTCTATAATCCCCACACCAGGAGGCAGACATAGGAGGTTCAGATTCAAGGTTATCCTAGGTCATTCTCAGCTATAGAATGAGTTCAAGGCCAGCCTGGGATACATGAGACTGTCTCAATAAAGGAAAAAAGCAAAATAGACTATGGTGATTAGTAGAGTCAAGGACATGGAATGACACCGGCATTGGGAAGGTCATCAATCAGTAGCTGGAAGGTCCTCAATGGTACTTACCGGATTGGATTGGGAGGTGGAGGAGGGAGAGGTGGAGGAGGAGGAGGCGGGGGAGGCACCGAATTCTCCGACTGGTTCACTCGCTTCTGGAGTTCATCCACTGTACAGGGAGCAAATATTCAAAGAAAGCTGAGATAAATGACTCCAGACTGTTTACTACACACAGTTCATGCAAGTAACAGAAAAACCCAGCCTTTCTCAGATATAAGATGGGGCACACTTAAGACATTTCCAGAGGAAACTGCAGCTTGCAACTTTGTGTCATCTCGTCCATCACTAGCATCTAAGCCTTCATCTGTTAAAGCAACTACAAAACAATGTGGCTACTGCGTGGAGAGTAACAACTGAACAGGCTGAAGGAGTGTAGGTAACAGTAGAGATCAGTTTTTGAACAACAAGAAATTATTCACGCTAGACTTAAAAAGTGTGCAGACCATGGGCTACTAAGATGACATTCGTAACTCATTTTAGTAATTGTATTCTTCTCCTCTATACTTAATTTCCTTAAAAAACAGCAAACACTGGAGTTTAAACTAGATCCACATTCCTGAATGTCTGTAACTTATGGACTTTTTGCTCTTTTGAAGAAGTGTCATTTATTCTTACAAGCCATGATAACATAGGCATCGTTACAATAATAACATAACATGTAACATTGTTACAATGTTAATGGATCTATAGACAGAGCTGGGCACAGTATCCTTCTTGAATTCAAGGGGTTCAATGTAAGTTTGTATCACAGGGCTGCAGGTATAGCTTTGTTCTAGAGCAAGCACAAAGTGCTGGGTTTAAGCTCTGGCACCATATCACAAAAGGAGAGAACTATACATTAAAGCTTAATAGGTGATGGGTACCACATAATGCTCTTCACTATATGCTTTCCCTGTCAATCCTTAAGCAGACAATGTGGGGTTAGGGGTTACACTCTTCATTCCAAATTGTGTGTGTGTGGGGCAAAGGTCAACATCAAGCTTATTTGATTATTTAACATGGGAAGGCATACCCTAAAGCTGGCCTGCACCCTCTGGAGGCAGGCCAAGTAAAAGACCATGGAAGAAGGGAACTTTGTTTTTTTTCCTACTTGCCCTGTTCTCATCGGCAAGTTCATCTAACCTGATGCTGAGGCTCACAGCACTGGTACAACCTACTTCTTCATGTTTCTAACATAGCCTGAAGAAGCTCTGTGTGAATCCTCCCGACTCCAGCACCAGATTATGAGTGCTGAGACATCCAGCCTCACAGACTAGACCACTGATTGATTCTTGACCATTCTGTGGAGAAACAGCTATTGTTACATTATTTGGACCACAGCCTGTTATCCAGATGAATAAATCTCCCAATAAATCCCATGTACCTATTCATTCTGTTGATCCTATTCCTTTAGAGAATCCAGACTCATACCCCCCTCCCTGGAGATCCAAAAACACCCACATGCCACCATACCCAGTAAAAAAGCATAGACTCCTTTCTTCTGTGTTTCTTTTTGTTTTCCTATTTATTTATTTTACTTGATGTCTACAAGTGTTTTGCTTGCATCTGTACATGTTCACCACGTGTATCCACTGCTCACAGAGGTAAGAAGAAGGTATCAGATCTCTTAAGTGTTTGTGAGGCACCATGTGGGTGGTGTGATTTGAACCAGTGTCCTCTGTAGGAGCAGCAAGTGATCTTGACGCTGAGGCATTGTTCTAGCCCCTTCTGTGTAGCTTCTTGTGCCCCTGATAGGCCTGGCTGCCAATAGATTCTAAATCAGTTCAAACTAGAACCTCAGATGTCTATAACACCACTTCCATTTACTATAAAGATGGCTTTGCCTGGAGGCTACTCTTGACGCTTATTAAAGAGAGTACAAACTTTCTAAATTTTGGGTTGAATTTTTTTAAAGTAAATTGCGATGATTTTTTATTATGAGAATTTAAAAAGCACCGAAAGTTTCAAAAGGGGGAAATAAAAAGGCCTACATGGTTCTTCTGCACAGATTTCAAAATTCTATTATAAAATTAATGGAAAATATGTGAAGTGAATATTGAGGCTGTTATAAAGAGAAATGTACCCATCATAAATTACCCACCTTCTTGCAGAGACTTATAACTGTATCGTAATCCAACTCATACATTTTTGTGAGCCTTCTAGCACTTAATGAATAACTCCCTTGATTTCAGAATCCCTGGTGTTTTTAAAAGTTTTTTCATTTAATATATATATTGTTGCCCATTTCATTGTTAGGTATGGCATAGAAAGTAATATTTCATACGTATAATTAAACCCCAAAGATGAAGGGGACACAAATGCCAAAGATGAGGGTATTGTTTTTAAAAAGAAAGAGAGTTTAATTATTTTGGGAAAAGCACTTCAAAACAAACAGAGCAAAGAAAGTGCTTAGTAAGCCTTCCTTTCTAAAGGCCCAGAGAAGCTGACAGTTTGGGTCTTCCACGCCAATGGCACCACTGGGCTTTGGTTACTCTGGGAAACTCACATGGGCTCTACAAGAGAAAGAGAGGAAGAGAGAGAGAGAGAGAGAGAGAGAGAGAGAGAGAGAGAGAGAGAATGCTGCAGTATTTGTGACTTGCTTGGTTACGTGGAATATTCTGTTGAACTGTGATAGTTAGAAATGAAGTTTCAAATCCAAGTCAGTAGATTGAGGAGACTGTTCAGTCTGTGTGAGACTTACTGTGCAAGCAAGCATGACTTCACTCAACTCCCCAGAGCCTATAAGAGAGCTGGGTATGGTGGTATATGTTTGCAATCCAAGTGCTGTGAGAGTGGAAGTGAGAGGATCTATGGAGCTCCCTGATCAGCAAGTCGAGCTTACTGGTGAGCCTGAGACACTAGTGAGAGGTATCTTACCTTCAAAGATAAAATGACGACAAGAACAACAAAACAAAACAAAAGGCAAACAAACAAAAAAAAAACAAAACAAAGAAACAAAAAACAAAAAACAAGATTTGGGCCTGGAGAGGTGAATTGGCAATTAAAAGCACCTGTTGCTATTACAGAGGAACCAGGTTCAGTTCGTACCACACACATGGTGATTCAGAATTGCCAATAATTCTAGTTTAGGGGATCTTATGCCTCTTCTGGCTTCCATAGGCACCAGGCACATACATGATGCATACCAGGTACACACATGGTGTACAGACCCTCATACACATAAAATAGAGTATTTTCAAAGGAAAAACCAAGATGAACTGTTCCTGACATCGATCTCTAGTGTCCACATGCATACACATATAGCAACCCAAACAAACAATCGAACAAATTTGGGTTATTTTTCCTACGGCCTTCAGAGCTAACTGCAGACACACTCTGCCATGGGCGTGAGCGACAGACACAGGCGCTGACTCAGGGCTTTCACCTGAATGCTTCAGGTTCCGGGCCTTCTCCTCTGAGCTCTGGTATTTCTGCTCCAGCTCTCTCTTGTCATCTTCCAGAAGCTCCAGCTGTTGTCTGAGGTTATGGATCTCTTTGTGAAGTGCTTCGTTCTCCAGCCGCTCCTCTAACTCTTTGACCTGTAAGTTTTACAGAGCTTGAATAGGGCTGCCATGTTTTTCCTTGTTAACAGGAAGGGAAAGAAGGATGAATGTTTTTGTCTATATATGTATGTATGTGTGTATGTGTGTATATGTGTATGTGTGTATGTGTATATGTGTGTATGTGTGTATGTATATGTATATGTCTGTATGTGTATATGTGTACATATGTACGTGTGTATGTGTATACGTGTATACATGTATGTGTGTATGTGTTTGTGTATGTGTGTATATATGTGTATGTGTGTATGTGTGTATGTGTGCATGTGTGTATGTGTGCATGTGTGTATGTGTGTATGTATGTATGTGTGTATGTGTATATGTGTATATATGTGTATATGTATATGTGTATATATGTATATATATGTAAATGAATGTTTTCATATACAGATATACAGACATACAGATATACACACACACATACACACACACACACACACACGCATATATCTATATATCTATATCTACTAATCCACCTTAAAGTCACATAGATTCTGGGTCTAGATAACCCTGGTACTTATAAATCAGTATCTCACTTCCTATTATTTTTCCTGAGCAGTTACAGTAACAAACTGAAAGGACATTTTTAAAAACTTGAATGACAAAAGTAAAATATATCTAAAACTTATTTTAAAACAGATGCATTATTTCTATATTCTTTTTCAACAGAAAAATTTTAATAGTGTTTTAAAAAGATCCCTGGGGACCCATGGAGAAGAGACAGGGAAGAAGGGAGAGGCCTTTTGGTCAGTACTGGCACTTTTTAAAAAGATCTTTTTTTGTGTTTGCCTGTAATTACGTATGTGCACCATTTGAGTGCAGTTTCCTTGGAGGCTAGAAGAGGACATCCAATACCCTGGAACTGGAGTTACAGACTGTTGTGAGCTGTCATATGGGTGCTAGGAACTGAACCCAGGTCCTCTGGAAGAGCAACAAATGTTCTTATCTGCTGAGACATCTCTCTAGTCCCAATATTTGTGACCTGCTGTTCAAATGCTTGCTTAGTACATCCAAGGCCCTGAATTCAATCCCTAGCACAAAAACTACTCACCACCAACAGCAATGAGCCTCAGGCAAAAGCAAAAAAAAAAAAAAAAAAGAAAAGAAAAACGCCACACCAAAACTTTTGAAAACCTAAGAATAACCTAAATGTCCACCAACATTATGGTTTCATAGACTATGAGAAAATACTACACAGGCATAGAAAGCCATATAGTTCAATACACACCTAGGTGAGAAGATATATTACCAATTAAAGAAGGTTAAAGGAGGACATGCATCCCATAACTCCACTGATACAAACCATATACATGTCAAAAGACTATCTATAAGTTTAGAGCTGCCCACAAGTTGTAGATCTTAGATTCTCAGATAATTTTAATTTTCCTTTACTCTTTTGACATTTCAAAGAAGGTTTGTTTACTATAAGGAATGGATATTATTTGTATGAATGCAAACACAAAGATTTAAACAAGTGCTGAACCTGTGTGGGAATTTATGTTCAGGTGGGAGATATTTTACACCACACACAGTAAAGAGTATGCAGAATGAATGACTAGCACACAATAACTCCTGCAGAACCGGCAGTGGCTATAGCTCCACCCACAATGACCTCTGCTTCTTTCCTAGACAAGAACTTAGAAAACAACTCATCCCTAGAGTCCAGTTTAACTTAGTGGCCTCTGAGCATGTATTATTTACTAGCCAAGTTAACAACAAATATAATCTGTCTTCTTAAGACCAAATGTTAGATTTTAACATAAGCTAAACACACATGCACATGTATGCACACACATGTACACATGCACACACATGTATGTACACATACACTCACATCACACACACACACACACGCACACACACACACTCATACATTCTTTCTTTCAGGAAAGGTGATTACTACACGTGGGAGCAGAGGAAGAAATTCTTCATCTTTGGACTTGGGAAGCAGAGGCTTTCTGGAAATCTGCCAGTACTTCTCACTGAGGAAGCAGAGATCCAGCCTGACCTCACTGCTAGATGTTAAAAAAAAAAAAAAAAAACAACCCTGGAGATCTGTCGGGACCTTTGCTCTCATGTGAGGGCCTATAAATATTGATGTCATCATTCTGAAGTGGCTCCTGTGAGTCTTTCTTCTGCCTCTTCCCTCTTCTCTCCCCTATCACAAGGGCACAGAGGGACCTGGGCTGTGCTGTCTGGAAACTGAATAAAGAGCTAAGAAGCCCTACAGATGTCTACAGAAGTCTGCACAGTCAGAGAAGTAACTAAGACAGCAATTGCTACAGACAGGTTTTTCCTTCCTTCTCAGAATAAGGCCCTAAGCTCCCCGCCCCCAACAAGCTCTGTGAGATCAATACATTCTCCTACGTGTATTTAATCATCTCTGCAAACCATACCATTTCCAAAGAGACTTCAAGGCTATAATTCTTGCCTTTGCTTCTTCAAATTCATTTAAAAGACTCCATGTCGGTGGCCTATAAAGTTTAGCTGAGCAGTACATGAAATTTACTTGGTAGCTATTGTTTTCTCAAAGATGATTAGGACTAAGTAAGCAAGGCAAAATATGAAACTCTAGAAAGCTGCAGTGGCACCTTTTGTTTTAATTTGTGATTGTGCAGATTGTATGTGTGTGTGTGTGGGTACATATAATATGATATGGGTATGTGTAGTGTGTGCATGTTATGGGTGTATGCACCTGTGCATACATGTGCATGCATGTATGGTGTATACACAAATGTGTATACATGCATGTGTATGTGATATGTGTGTGTGCAATGTGGTTATGTGTGCCTGTGTGTACATGTGCATGCATGTATGGTAT